CTAGGGATCCTGTCGTGCTAGTCCCGCTCTACATGGCCTTCGTTCAGCGGCATTAGGAGTACTGCGTACAAGCTTGGTCCCCTAATCTAAAGAAGGATCAAAAGGTTCTAGAAAGAGTGCAGAAGAGGCTCACGCGCACGTTCCCGCACCTTCGAGGAATGACATATACCGAACGCCTTCAGGGGCTGAACCTGTTCTCACTGGGAGAAGCCTGACGGGGGACCTGATCAAGAGATTCCGTAACTTGACGGGTTTCTCTCAAGGGATCACTTATCTACTTCAGCCAAGCGGTGTGCCCAACAGAAGGGGACACAGCAAGAAGTTAGACAAGCCTGGGGCGCTCAAACGCCTGTGAGCCACCTTTTTCTCTCACCGGGTAATTAATACATCGAACAAACTGCCGAAGGAGGTAGTGGCGTCAAAAACCGTTGCCGAGTTCAACCTGAAGCTTGACGCTTCCTGGGCATCGGCGTTCCCCGATTGTATCTGAAACCGGGCCTGAGGTCGCTAAAAGCTCGTCCGTCTCTGGGTCCCCCACTTTTAACTCTTTATCTCTTACTCCGGTTCGATTTCTCCAACTCCCTCGGCTCCATTTTTCGTTCATTTTGCACCACATTTTGCTGAAACGTCTCTACATCGAGTACCACCACTTTTAGGACGTTTTTTCTCCCAACACACCTTTTACTCTGGGTAGCTCGGAGCGGTTGGTTGCGAGCTGTTGCTTTGATTCTGGCAAAACCTCAGACGTGTACTGTCACTCAGAAAAACCATCATAAGTGCGTTTTCGTTTTCCAGAACCGCACCCAACCACNCAAAAATAATAAAATTGTCGCAGCGCCGTGGTGCTCCCAAGCTCATTCTTTCAACAAACTGGACTGCTTCTGGCTCCGCCGCTAATCATGTGTCTTGTCCTGTGGTCTTCTGTCCATAAAGGGAAGTACTGTTGCAACTCCGGGCTCATTTCACCTTTCCTGATCTTCCTCAGACAGATGAGATCTCCCTTGAGGTGTCCATGGGCAACTTAGACCAGACGGGTAGCCTATAGTCGACCTTCGTTGCTAGTTCCGCGTAGTCCAGCAACGAGTCGAGTGGCAGCATATTTTACACGCTCCGACTTATCCAGTTAACCGGCCGTGCAGGAGTATTTCGCCGCAGCACCATGCTCAAGCCTTGATCTAACATGGGAAGCTTACAGCAGTCTGAAAGCGTTCATCGTGAGCCTGTTGAAAAACCGCCGAATGGGCCCCAGAATGCTCCGTGCGCTGGCACAAACGCCACCGGTGTTTTCTCGGGTCTTTAGTGGTTTTAATCATAACTCCCGGGTCTGTTTCGCGCGATGTTCCGCGCAAGGTGGTTCCCTGAAAGTTGTAAACTAACTTTGAGTCAACACGCCTCAATTACAGTTGAGCAAACTTTGCGGTGTTGACTGGAAGAGCACAGGTGTTCGCCTATTTAGCTAAGTTGTTCAAATCCGCTTGAAGAGAACTTCGATCATTCGGATCCTTGATTTTACTTCAGATTTTGATGTCATCTGCATATATGAAGGATGGGCTTCATAGTTGACTGAGTTACTCGTTTACATAAACTACAAAGAGCAATGGACCAAACACCGAGTCTCGGGGACCCCACTGGGAGCGGAATACCAAGCAGATAGCCATTTGCCAACACGGACGCAGAAATTGTGGTCGATGAGGGAGTCTCGCAACCAATTCAGCATGACCACAAATACACCCAGGTTAGACAGCTTTCGCAGAAGGCGGTTGTGCAGCACCTCGTCGAAGGCCTTGCTGAATTCCACGATGATGTCCGTTTCGTGATCTTTGGTCTTGTACTCGGTCCAGCATTCACGGGCAAGTAGCAGGTTTGAGAGACCTGAGAGACCTGGCCGGAAACCGTGTTGTTGGTGGCAGGGTTGACCGTGGCACACCAAATGCTGTCGAAGCCGTGCAGCAACCAGTCGCTCCATTAATTTACCCACAACACTAATAAGGTTGACTGGTCGATAGTTTCCAGGTAACTAATGTCCACAGCATCCTTCCACCGCCGCGGTAAACGCTCTTGTGTGAATGAAAAATTGAATAGGTCACAGTGGCAATGCAGGTTCCTCTGCCAGCTATCTCAGGATCATCGGATGCACACTACCAGGTCAACGTGAACCGGTGAGCCTTTAGCCGACTCAACTCCAGGGCTGCCTCTCCAATGTTAAATTGTGTCCAGTTCAGAGCAGTTTCAGTGTTCAGTAGATTTGCCGATGTGCTGATGTCCGGTGTGTACACTGAGGCATAATGCGATGCCAACATCTCCGCTTTGTCCTCATCTTTTTCGGCTAGTGCCCCATCTTTGGCGAGATTCGGGAGACCAGGCTTTGCTGTGATTCTTCGCCTGAGATAGGCACACAGTTGCTTTGGTGCTTGTACTGAATCCGCTGCTAGTCGTTCCTCAAATCTGGTTTTCTTGCATTTTTTAGTGTAGTACAATGATTTCGAATACATCGATATTCCTCATATTCTGCGTCTGTTGCACGGGACCTAGACCAGGCTTTATTCCGCTGCGGGATGCAAGCCCGCAGTTCTCAATCAAACCACGGCGGGCCCATAGCGNGGCTTTATTTCGCTGCCGGAGGCACGCCCGCAGTTCTCGGTCAAACCACGGCGGGCCCATAGCGTGTATTCGGTGGCGGTGAGGTGAAGCGAATTCTAGTACGAGTTGCTGGATTCTATGACGAACCAACTCCCAGGATACATCCACATCCTCAGGATTCCGGGAATTCCAATTTGTGAGCGATGCAGCCCGGTGCATATTCGGAAAGGATGAGCGCCACACATTCCGTCCGTCCTGTGGTATGTCCGTTTGGAGTACACCACACCAGTGTATACGCAGAACGGAGTGATCACTAGATGCCATTGATGGAAGAAGGTCAATCCTGGTCGCATCTGATTGCCTCGGCGAAAATACCAGGTCAACGATGGATCTTTGATCCCCAACTATCCGCGTGGGCACATGAACATGCTGAATAAGCGACAGGGCCCGGACAGCGAAAAGAAGTTCTCTGGAGACCAAATCTGTGTGCTGAGAGCGGATGTCAGTTTC